AAAATGAATGTGAATGATGTGTTAAAAAAAAAAAAAAAAAAAAAAGAATGTGAATGGATTTGCACTAATGGGAGTTGGTTAAACTTCGTTTTAAATTGACAAATGGTGAATGTGCTGTCGGATTATTTCTGCTTAAATTTTCTTGGCGCCATAAAGAAAGGAAACATATGGCAGACACATTTGACTAACAAGTTAAGCAAGTCATCGATGGATGATTTTAATTTTTTCAATGTGCAACCATTATAATATTTTTATTCACAAATAGTACTTTCATTCGGGCCACTATACGAAAAGTAAGCTTCTACTGTATAATCCCTCGTAATTAAAAGATTTGAAAGTTAATTATATCATTCGTAATGATGCCTTTAATTGCTGTGGTTTGAATAAATTGTCAACTTTTTTCTCTTAACGCAACCACTACTGTCATGTCTGACAACGTTTGAGACCCACCTCTAAACTTGTACCAATGAGACTGCAAACCATAAAGACAAATTTCAGATGATTTCTAATAGATTACTGCTAGGTAGATTGATTAGGCGTGAATTGATTCTTTAGTACCTTAGCATTAACAGTCAACCAACTTTCCGTGAGATAACTAGACTGAAGCTAATTGACTTGTTAAGAATCCTATTTTTGGTAATTTTATCTCTAAGTTTTCCATTGTATTGGTAGTCCACAAGAAAAATATAACCTTGTTCTATTTTATTGATCATGTTAATATCGATACGTTTATAAATTTGGTTGTCTAAATTGAATTAGTAGTAATTTTAGTCTTCTATAAAGACAAACAATCGCATTGTAAGCAGAAAGGATTACTTAAAATGTGTTAGTTGTTGAACTAACCCGTTAATACCATAACCATTTATCTCTTCATTTTCTTATAACAGAAATTATGTATGTATCACTTTCCAAAAGCGAAAATCAAATAGTTACCAAACTCACCAATCTGAAGAAAGTTCAGTTAGAGAAGTCGGTTCAACCGATTTTCTCTATGATATGACATTTACACTAAAGCTAGTACTCCATCTGTTTTAGTTTAATTGTTATTTTAAATTTTTACGCACAGATTAAAAAAATATTTAATTTTACATATTTTCAAAATAAAAACACAATTAACTAACTAACAGAAAAATAAAATATCATATAAAATTAATAAATATTGTCTCGAAACTTTAAAATGACACTTACTTAGAAACGAATTTTTTTCTCTACAATGATAATTAAATCGAAACGGAGGGAGTATGACATTTACTACATTTTCTCTATGATATGACACTACAGTCAAGCAACTCATGGTTCTTGAAATTGAAATAGTAAATAGCCAGCTTCAACTGAAGAAACTTCTTTCACAAGAAAACAGTAACTGAAACAAGTAATAACAGTTTACAGAAGCACAATACCAAAATACAACACACACACACATAACACCCACAAAAAATAATAAACAAGATCATATTACAGTAACATATTACAGTAACAGAGATCTTCTCAACGACCAACTTGAGCACTTGAAAACGTCACAGTACCACTCGAAGACGAGACATAACAATTGTGGTCACCACCAGAGCTCACCGATGTTCCATTACTCGAAGACGAGACATGATAAGTAGCAACAGGCATTTTATTAGGAAGACGAGGCAACGGTGCTTCAAGATTCAACACTTGTATCGCTTGTTTAATCGAAGGCCTCTCATTCCTATCAGGATGAGCACACCACAACCCTACAACCATAAGACATTCCGCTTCCTTCTCATCAAAACCATCAACCCTAAGTTTCTCATCCACAACTTCCATCACATCTCCTTTCCCATAAAACTCCCAAACTCTCTCCACAAGGCTTCCCTCAGCCCCCACTCTCCCTCGTCTCTGATCAACAGATTTTCTTCCTGTAACAATCTCTAACGTCACAACACCAAAGCTATAAACATCAGACTCTTTACTCGCTCTTCCCGTGCTTATATACTCAGGAGCCATGTAACCAAAAGTCCCCGCTAACCCTGTAGTCTGTGGCCCCAGCTCATGGTCCATCAACCTAGCTAAACCGAAATCACCGAGTTTAGCATTGAAATTAGAGTCAAGCATCACGTTACTCGCCTTGATGTCTCTATGCACAACACATTGCTCCCACTCCTCGTGGAGATAAAGCAAAGCAGAGGCTATACCTAAAGTTACCTTGCACCTCACGGTCCAAGGAAGACGAGGCTTGGTACCAAACAGATGAGCGTCTAGGCTACCGTTTGGCATGAGCTCATATATCATTAGAAACTCATCTTTCTCATGACACCAACCAATGAGTTGCACTAAGTTTCTATGTCTCAAACTGCTGATTGTCTTTACTTCGGTTATAAACTCTCTCCTCCCTTGCTTAGACCCTCCCGCAAACTTCTTTATCGCAACCATCGTATCTAAACCGGTTAAGTAGCCTTTATACACAGCTCCAAACCCTCCTTCACCAAGCTTCCTATCGTCAGAGAAGTTGTTAGCAGCTGTCACAAGATCTTTGTAAGAAAACTTCTTTGGTCCTGCTCCTCTTTCAAGATCATCGTTTATAGATATCAAGCTTGCTTCCTCCTCTGCTCTCTTCTTCCTTTGCTTCCTTCTCAAGAAAACGGTGAGGGAGATAACGACAAAGGTTAATAAAACAAACCCTGCAACTGAGCTACCGATTATCATCACCTTCCTATCAGTTTCAATCTTCTTGAGATCTCTTGGCTCCAACTTCGAACTGTACTTCCATGACAAAAGTCTATTCCCTTCGCTAAAAGAACCAGATGAAGCGGAGAAACCCATAGTGACTTCTGGTGGAAGCACTTTCGAAAGATCAATGATGTAAGATAAGCTCGAGCTCTCATTAGGATCAGATGTTTTGTTATAACTCCAAGAGACGCTCAAGTTTCTTCTAACGGAATCGTAAAAGATCACCACACGAGCTACATCTTTGCTGTGTAACGTTGCATTCCAAGAAGTGACGTTGGCAGAGACAAGAGAGTTGTTGTTGATACCCACATGAGACTTCATGTCTGTAGGATCCCATTCTGGATTGCTAAACGTGTCGAACTCGACATGAACTAATGGGTAAGGAGAAGACTTAAGGTGGGTTTGGTTAAAGAGACCTAAGAAGCCACCAGCTGAGTTTGGAGGCATTTTGATACGAGCCGGGGCTATGAAGAAAGCGAACCCTTGGCCGTAGTTACCATACTTTTGACGCTTAGTATCGATTCTGAAGGAGAAGCGGGTGGTGAAATCTGAAGGTTTGCCGATTGCTGGATCCCATAGAGGGATCTCTTTGCCGTAAGTAACCCAACCAGCACGGCAAGTGAAGTTGATGTGGGTAAGGTCAACGGATTTTTTTGGTTTTGCATCTCCTTGGTATGCTATTTGGGAACTTTGGTTGAAACTAGTTATTTTAAAATGGATTGAACAGACAAAAGGGAGAATCAAAATAAATGAAATGAAGATGATTGAGATATTAGACATTCTGCAGGAAAAGACACAAGAGACCAAGGTGGTGCAGTTGATATATATGTGTACTTCACAACAAGTCAACGACTAAACCTAGCTTGATCCCAACTATCACCAGTACAAAAACAAAACAAAAGTTATTAAACAATCATTTAAGTTACCTTAATAGTTGACCTTAAGGGTAAACAAAACAAATCTGAATTGAAAATTCTGTTATGATATTGCTAATGAATATGACATGAACCATTTTAAAATGTGTAAGACATGTTTAGTGTCACAAGGCGTATATCAAAGAGAAAACATGTTAAGCAGAGTAACTTCAAAAATAAGGCTTACCAGCAGAATCACAGCGAAAAGTTGACAACTCACGTTGACCTTTCCGACAGAACTGGCTTATGCACAGCCAGCACGATTAACAAGAGAGGTGATTCATCTGTAAACTTAAAGAACATGTCAATGTACAGTAAGTAAGAAGAACCTTGGCCTGCAACATTTAGAAATACCATCAAGAGAAAGTACATAGGAAAGAAAGTCTTCCACTATTTGAAACTATAAAGTCTATGGATATACTTTTGAAGAAATGATAGATTTAAAAAGACATCCATCAAGTCAATGACAAACCTAGGATTAGAAAAATAAGCTCATCCCAGGAGCCAGCTCAACCTCAGCTTAAACAAATGAAGTCTTTGTTTTGTCAACCAAGTCCATCTGTTACAAAAAAAAAGAACGTGATAAAACAATTCTATACGACCGCAAAACAGTTGACCTAAGAACAAACAAATGATATTCCTACGTGCAAGAACAAACACAATTACCAATAGACAAATAGGAACAAACTCACAACCTGCTCCTCTTCCACTTTATAGGTCATTCTCAAGCTTTGTTCATCTTGTCACCTATGATCTGAAAGAACTAAAGAACCTTAATCTACTCTCCTAGAGTTGTTATGCTTATATATCAACGTTCGTCCAAACATGATCAATTTATTCGTCCAAACAGTAACGCTTTTTATTTAAACTTTTCCAAGAATCACAGTTTGCTTAAAAACAATCATTTAAAACTCAAGAGACAGAGAATGTTGTAAATCTCCCAAAACCAAGTCATGAACCCCCAAAGGAATCACTCTCTTCCCCACATCATTCGCAAGGCTAAGATGCTTGCAAGGATCAATCACGAACTCTGCTTCCACCATCTCACTGGAACGAACATGAACACGTTCAAAACCAATCAGCTGCTTCTCAGGAACACCAGATAAAACCTGAGGCATTCTTGAGTACAACATCAACACATGACTACCGTCCATCTCTCCCGTATTACTCACGCTAAACCGCACGTTAAACCTCAGCGACTCACACGAGTTAACCTCCAAATCATCGAGCTCTAAGTATCTGAGCTGCTCTTCACCGTTTTGGAGAAGCAGTTTCTTGTGTGAAGACTGAGGAATAACTTCTGATAAGCCAAGTCTGGTTGGTGCTGAAAGAACCTTGTAATCAAAGTCAGTGTAGCTTAAACCGGTTCCAAATCCGTAAACTTGAGGTCCGGTATAGAATCTGTACGTTCTTCCAGGATAACCACGAGATGAATCAGCTCTCATATGCATATCAGACATTGCAACCTTAGTAAATGACTGAGGATACCACGTCATCGGTAACCTCCCACCTGGATTAAAATCACCAAACAAGATCTCAGCTAGTGCTTGTCCACCTGTTTCACCTGGATAACCAATCCAGACAATGCTTCCTATTCTTGGATCGGTTTTAGCAAAGGTTACATCCACTGGTCCACCACCGGTTAGGACTAGAATCACTGGCTTTTTACTCACAGCTGCAATGGAAGTCACAAGATCTTTCTGTTTGCCAGGTAAAGAGAGACTAACTCTATCTTTATCTTCTGTTTCTTGAGTGAGATCTAACCCCGCAACAACTATGACATAATCTGCTCCCTTGGCTATTGCAACAGCTTCTCCAAACTCATTGCTAGAATCACAAGCAACGTCAGAGCAACCAGAGGCATAAGATGTCTTCTTTACATACTCCACAAGTTCATTGAAGATAGTCTTTCGTTGACATGGCTTTCCTGTATAAGTCCCTCCCATATTGCTTATATTATTCGCCATTGGACCAATGATTGCTAAAGAAGAGACTTGGTTTTTCTTCAAAGGCAAATGCTTGTGATCGTTTTTTAGAAGCACAATCCCTTGTCTAGCTGCTTCTAATGCTAACTCTCTGTGACTTGAGCTACAAATATCATTTGTTCCTAACTTTGCGTAACGTCCTTCTCTTGGATTACCGTCGAAAAGTCCAAGACGAAGTTGAACAGCAAAGAGATTCAGGAGAGCTCTGTCTATTTGTTCCTCGCTCACTTTCCCTTTATCTATCGCAGATTTTGTGTGTCTAACCATGTACGTTCCACAGTTTATATCCACCCCTGGAAAATTCCACCATCTCTCAGTTAAGCAAAACATTTACAAAAGTCAAAGAAGTGTAATGAGACCTGCTTTGATTGCATCAGCAACTGCTTCCTCAGATGAGTTTGTGTATCCTTGGTAATCGAAAATGGTTGCCACAGCATCACAGTCTGATGTAATGTACCTGTAAACGACAAAGCACTCTCATATAAACCTTTCATTTGACGAAATCAAACACTACTACAAAAATAAATAAGTTTTACTACAAACCCTTTAAATCCCCATTCAACACGAGCTTTCTGTAACAAGTCTTCTCGAGCACAAGCAGGCACTCCATTAACTGCATTATATGAACACATCAAACAGCTAGCTTTACCATCTCTGATACAACTCTCAAATGGTGGCTGATACGTGTCTTCCATGTCCTGTTCCGTAACCTACTAACACAGATTAATCAAGACTTAGCAGTTAGTATAGGACACAAAATCATCCATGCCATAAATTCGCCTAAGAAGAAAGTTCAAAAAGCCATTTAAATTCAAAAGAAACATATTCATCATCTAAATTCAAAAAAACAGGATGAACAAGTGTGGTATGAATACTACTCCAGACAAGTGAAAGATAGGCACTCATAGAGAATGTATGAGCCATTATCAATAAAGTGTATAGATTTATAAAACAGTTACCGATCTAATAGCATCATTTATTTCTTGTTTTGGTCAAACTTGATCAAATAAACCTACAAGTTTCCAATTTAATTTGAATCCACAAGCTAAAACTCATAGTAAAAACAACAAAAGAGAAGCTTAGTGTTGACTCTTACCACAGCATTGAAGTCATATCTACTAAAGTTCCCCCACTTCTCAAGATCATAAGCAGTGAAATGCTTACAACAAGCAGACAACATAAGCTTCTCATCATTGTTTTTAAAAACCTGACTCGTCTCCTTAACTTCCTGAAACCCTTTAACAAACTCAACACCATACTCAGAAACAACCAAAGGATCCTCCCCAGGAGTCTCCTGCCCTCTCCCCCACCTCGGATCCCTAAACACATTTATATTCGGCGCCCAATAAGTCAACCCCGCCTGACCACCGTTATACATCGCCCTACCTTCCACCGCCACCGCGGCTCCTATCTCCCTCCATAGCGTCCTGTTAAACGCCGCCGCGGAGACGATCACCTGAGGGAAGCTCGTCGCGGAGGAGATCGAGCCGTTGAAGGAGACGCCTGGACCGTTGTCTGCGAGTCCGTGTAAAGACTCTGACCACCATTCGTAGGGAGGGATGCCGAGGCGAGGGATGGAGGCGGCTGTGTTGGAGAGCTGGGAGATCTTCTCAGGGAGGGTTAGGAGGGAGACGAGGGAGAGAGCTCGTTGAGTTGTGGATAGTGAGATGTTGCAGAAAGGGTGGGAGTTGTGGTGAGGAGGTTTGCAGGGGAAGTTTGGATGAGGATCGGAGGAGGTTTTATCAGCTATGGTGGAAGTGAAGAAGAGTAGTGAGATTAAGGTTAACTGAAGAAGAAGAAGATTCATTGTTTGTTTCTTTTTCCGACAACAACGAATGTGGAGTGGTAGTAAAAAGGGTTAATAAAGGTGTTGTACTTTTAAAACCGGGGTAATCTGGAAATCTACGGTTGGACCGGGTTGGTTAACTGCTGTGTGTTTTTTTGATATTTGTCGTCTAACGGTTTTAATGGTTGTTGGATTTACATGTTACTGAATGTGGCCCATAACTTTTATGGGCCTTATTTATGAGTTAAGGTCTTCTTATATCCTGGACCATAATTATAGTAAAGCATTAACTAGATTCTAGATATATGCCAATTGCTAGGAAAACTGTCATTTCATACCCCTAACATATTACGATTTATGTTCATGCTCAACTTAACTTATACGACAGTTCAAAACTATATATGTACTTTCAAAAAATTCAAATAATATACCTATTATTTACTTTTTTGGCCAATTCATATACCAGTCACCACATCAGCTGTCATATCATCTAGTTTTGCTAATGTGAATGCTACATAAACTAATTTTGTTGACAAGGATGGTACGTATGCAATAATATTTTTTATTAAAAAATAAAATAATAAAACTAGCCATTTTATTAAAAAATAAATAAAGGTAAACTTTTATAAAAAAAATTACAGTTTATAATTTTTTATTATTTAGTACGACTAACAGAACTTAATCATATAATGAAATTGTAATCTTATATAAGAGATATATTTTTTATAATGTTTCGATCCTATCTATTACTCTTATGATAATCTTGGTTATTTTTGTGTATATAAATGTTTTAGATCGATTATGTAATCATGCGAATAATTGTATGTTAAAGTGATTAAGAATTAATCGTGAGTAACACGACTGCAACTCTGGCATTGAAACATTATAGCGAATATATCTCTTATATAAGATTAAAATTTTATTATTTAATTAATTTTTGTTAATTTTACTAAATAATGAAATTTATAAGGTGTCAAAAAATTTTATAAACCTTTTTATAAAAAAAAATTGTTTGATTTTATTTTATTTTAAAAATATTGTACAAGTAACATCCTCGTGAGTAAAAGTAACTTATGTAACATCTCCATGAGCAAAACTAGATAAATGTGAGAGCTGATGTGGCGACTAGTGTATGATTTGGCAAAACAAAAAATATGCATGTTATTTGAATTTTCTGAAAATAAATGTATGTTTTTGCACAGTCATATAAGTCGGTATGAATTAAACATATTGCGATATTTTAAGTATGAAATTACCATTTTCCGCCAATTGCCCACTCTAAATCATTTTTATTTTATTTATGATGAGTTAAAAAATGTTTATGAGTTAGATCCATGTGTTGGCACTTGGCACTATGATGGCATTGGCATTGTAATGTAAATGAGTTGTGTAATTCATAAACAATACTAATTCATGGTGTTCCATATTGAGGATTTTAGATCGCATATTATTTTATATGGTTTTCTGAGTCATGATTTTTATGTATTACATAAACAAAAATATAATTTGATTCATAAATCATATGTGTTTTCTCTAACAAAAAATGTTATTTAATCATTTATATTATTTTTTTTTTTGACCAAAAAAAAATAATAATAATAATTTATATTATATATATATATAAAGGCAATAATGATTGATGTTCGAATGACTTAATAATGGAGTGAATATGGCGTAGGAGACAGTGCAGTGCAGTGTCTGCATCGCTAAGTCTGTCTCCACAAACTCTCACGCAAATAGTAGACACGTTCTTCTTTGACTCTCACAAAAAAAAAAAAACAATCGATCTCTTTGACCTGGCAGTATCTTTTTCTTCCCCATTTCTAGACAAGCATATTGTACAAACATCAATTAATGTTTCAAGTATTTAAGTGCATTCACATGAAATAATTTACGGATCGATGTCAACATGAGACACGGGTGTTCATTTTTATGGTAATAAGGCAGTGATATGGGATGCCAGTGGAACTGGAGTACGTACTTTCAGGATATTTAAACTCACAATCACAAATTACTCGTCATATTAATGCTAACACCCTTACACTGTCCATTATATGAAATCTAATGATAATTTGTCGATATAGTCTATCAAGATCACCATCGCTTATTCTATGATTAGTTTGACTATTAATGGATAATCAATCATATTTACAATATTTATATAAACCCTTTAGATCTCAGACACATATATAAAGAAGAGTAAAGAATAGAGCAAGATGCATGGTGTTCATTCATTTTGGTCGGGACAGAGTTTTGTGGGTCCGATCATTTTCAAATCTAAAACGAAGTTGATCAGTTTATTTTATTGTTTGTCCTTAATTACATAATTTTCCATTTCACCTTGGTCTTGATTAATTAGGTTTGTTTTTTTATGTCGGTCTTAATGTATTACTAGATGATAACCCGCGCCATGCGCGGAGTGAGCTTTTTAAAAATATGTTGTATTTAAATACATATTTTGCTATCAATATGGACATTTGGGTACTATTTGTTTTGGTTAGATTATGTTTGGTTTAGATCATTGCGGTTTGGTTTAAATTTTTACAGGTTCAGATTAGGTTTAAGTTCGCATAACCCATTTAATTTTTATAAAAAAGATTAAAATTCATATATACTTTAAGTTTTTCAAAACCTAAAAGTAGAAATAATATATAACATAAATTTGAAAAATGAATGACAAAATACTTAAAATTAACATAAAATTGATTTATCTTAAATATTTGGACAAAAAATCAATAAATATTTCAAATATTTTTGGTATTTAGAGGTTGATTTGCTATTTTAAAAATTTTCATTTAACTATTTTACATATTTCTAAGTATTTTAGAATTTTTTAAAACATCTCATGTGTTTTGTATATTCTTAGATGTTAAATTTAAAAATAATTAATATATTTAAGAATATAAATCTGGTTCGAGTACACTCGAATACCCGAAATTTTTCGATTCAGTTTTGATTATCTAGATACCAAAATTTCGAATTCGCTTGGATATTTAACCAATTTTGCTTAAAAATTTGTATTCATTTTTGGGTTAGATTTGGTTCGGTTATTTGGATTTAGTTTTTTTTTGTCCAACCATATATTTTTTTTATTATACCAAAAATTAAAACGAAATGGATGATGGTTCATATTGATTTTGGGTATGCAAAAATTTTAAACAAAACACACTCTATTATGGGTGATCCATTTAGTTAATCATTATGAACTATTTAAGACCCATTAGAAAAACGATTGGCTGAACTAAAATCGTTACCATTGATCACAAAATTTTAGTGTGAGATTTTTACCATCTTAAGTAATTTATGGTCGTTTTAAAAAATTTAAAATATAACGTATAAGAACATATATAAATTTTTTTATTATATAATTAATGTGATTTTTTAATTTCTTTTTATAATATAAATTAAATAAAACATAAAGAGTATAAAAAATTGTTATCAAATATTTATTATTCATAAACATTAATTGTGATATATATGTTAATCATATTAGGTAATTCCGTAGCTTTTATTTAAGGAAAGAATAAAAAATCTTCTTTTGTACACTTCTAATTAAATATGATAGTTGGTATAATAAAAATAAACGTATGTTTAGTTGGACCAACATATTTCTCTAAGAGTTATGAAAATCATTCTCATTGCGACACGTGGCTACCAAAAAATGTTGTAATGCTCCAACATATAGGAGATTTAAACTATTGTTCAAAAATATTATAATTGAATTTTTTCAATGCTTTATTAATTTATAGTCTTTTGTAAAAAAATTAAATATAACATATGTAAAAATCTAAT